CCCCAAAACCCCAAAACCCCAAAACCCCCATCAATGGATCAAGGTTATTCCATCTGATATGAATTAATAAATGAAAAATAAAGTAACTTAGTAACCTAAAAAAGTTTATTTAAGCAAAGTTAACATCAGAAAATAATTTGATTAAAACCTTATCTTAGAATTGAATAAATTATATTGATCCTATCTAAAATGATCAAGATTAAGCAGACTCTATTTTTTACTTTTTTGGGACTTGGATTAACTTACTAACAAACTTCCAATGAAACTTAAACTATGATTGAGCTTATTTAATCATTCACAAATTTCGCAAACTCTCTGAATGGTACTACTCTCCCTTATGAAGCAGCAGAATAAATTATACCAGCTATTTCTAAGTTTCAAGAATACGTATATGACATTGCATTAGTTAACTTCATACCTTAATATAACATAGACCAATCACTAATTAACTCAATGCTAGAAGCAATAAATGCTGCTTATTAAAGAAGCTATCCAATTACAAATCAGCAAACGCCTAGTATATTTAACAGTCTTGATTAGCCAGAATGCTATACGAAATATTCAGAAGGTGATATAATGATTTATTATGGTTTCAATAATTACATAAAATTTGCAACAGGAGAGGATTCCTCTGGATCAGAATTTGCAAGCTTTTGTGTTTCTGAGCCTAATTTCAGTCACATCCTTGATGATTTTATTGGCTTGATTGAAGGAACAGGAGAATGTGACATATTAGCTGCTTTATTTAGTGGTGAACCAAAGAGTAACATCTATACAGGTTGGACTGATTTTAAAGTTGATCGATCAAGTTACTTAGTTATGTATGCCACCTTAGGAATAGCTATGTAAACAACCTGTAACTACTTGAATACCAGCTTAGATCAAAGCAAAATAAAAGATATGAATGGAAAATATACTAATTAATTAGTGAGAATGATTTCAAGAATTCTAGAATTCAACGCACTTGCTTAGTAATCAGTCTCACAATCTCTGACATTAACTCTTATTCAAATCATGGTTGACAATCCAAATTTAAGTCTTGATACTTTCACTAATGGCTTTAATGGATTCGATCTCTACAGTGATCTATTGTTGACTATTGGATTAACATATAGCAGCGCTGATGAGAGAGATTTTTACTCTGAGTGCTGGAATTGCATCAATGTTACTCTCGGCAGATATCGAGCTGTATTAACTTGGCTAAGCTTTAATACTACTACATCTCTTTCAAGTGATCTTAATCTTTAATAGTATTTAACTGAAAATAGAAACCCTTAAGATATAGCTAGCGCTATCAGGAAGAACGTAGGCGATTGCGTAAGTGGAGTTTGGATTTTCAATTAATCTACCCCTCATTCTATTGAATCGGCTTTTGAGGACAGAATTGTTAGTTATCAAGGAGAAATTTACGATATTTATGTTTGGGGTGTTTAGGAAGATTGTCTAGGCAGACAATCTTTTAGATAAAGTCTATATTGATACCTTTAACATTCAGCTATTATTAATATTGGACACGAATAAAATTTTAAGATTTAATTTAATAATATTTTTAAATTTTTTATTGATCTCTCCTTCAACTATATTTATTCTGATGGGGTTTTGGGGTTTTGGGG